AGCACACCTCGCTTTTTTCAGACCGATGAGCTTTGTAAAAATCCACGCGTTTCTGAAAGGCGGGGCATAGAGGAGTAACAATAATGTACAGTATGTGGAAAATAATGTGTTTTTTTAACCTTAAACCACATGAACACATTTCATTACACCAAATACACAAAATAATGTTCTTTTTAGCAGCATCATATGACCCCTTTAAACACTCGTTCGTGCTGTATTGGTGATCAGCACACTGGCTCAAGACAGTAGATTGCAACTGGAGCCATTCATACAGTGGGAAATGCAAATTTAGAGTTGCTTTCATTATCTATGCCCTGGAAATCAATAAAATTAAGTATTTGCACATGTAGGGTGTTGTCCAATAGGATATGTGATGAGAGGTCAGAGCTGTCAGCTGTCATCTCAAATCAAATGTGCATGGTTGCAATGCTTAGTCCACCCTTGAGAATGCTTAAAATGGATCTTTGCTTTTTCTACATGTTTGTTGTACATTTTATTGCTTAATGTATGAAAATGATCATTATTGCTTCTCTTCTTGCAGTAAAACTTATGGAAATGTGCTGGTTTTGGATGGAGTCATCCAATGCACAGAACGAGATGAATTTTCTTATCAAGAAATGATTGCCAATCTACCTCTCTGCTGCCACCCTTGCCCAAAGAAGGTATGTGGTTTCATTTTTGTCCATCATATAAATGTGATTTGGAAGAATTGAAGCTGTTTGTGTGTTTAGTTGTTTTTCCCCATTCCTTTCGTCAGGTTCTCATCATTGGTGGAGGAGACGGTGGTGTCCTGAGGGAGGTTGTCAAGCATCCGCTGGTGGAGTCTGTTGTTCAGTGTGAAATTGATGAGGTTTGTATCCAGTTAAACCTGAATGTATGCTTCTATTCAAAAGATTTTGGTTGGTAAGATTAGTTAAAGTTAATAAGTTAATACTTGTATTCAACAAGGATTAAATTGATCAAAAATGTCAGTAAAGACATTTATAATGTTAAAAAAGATTTGTATTTCAAATAAGATGTTGATGAACTTTCTATTCATCTAAGAATTCTCGAATGTGTCACTGTTTCCACAAACATTTTAAGAAGCACAACTGTTTTCAACATTGATAATAAGAAAAGTTTCTCAAGCACTAAATCAGCATATTAAAAATGATTTATGATAGATCATGTGACACTGAAGACTGGAGTAAAAATGCAGCTTTTTAAAATTTAAGTATAATTTATATAATATTTTGAATATAATAATTTAAATATATTTTCAATATAATATTAAACAGGAAACAGTTATTTTAAATTGTAATAATATTTCGCAATATTGTTGTTTTTACTGTATTTTTGATCAGATAAATGCAGCCTCGGTGAGCATTGTTCTTCTTTCACAAACATTAAAAAAATCTTACTGACCCCAAACTGGGGTTTGATTTATGAAAGGATCATGTGACACTGAAGACTGGAGTAATGGCAGCTGAAAATTCTGCTTTGCCATCACAGGAATAAATTACATTTTAAAATATTAAAGTAGAAAACAGTTACTTTTAATTCAAATAATGTTTTACAATATTGCTGGTTTTACTGTATTTTTTTTTTTTTTTAGCAAATAAGCCTTCGTGAGTATAAGAGACTTCTAAACATTAATAAATCTTGCTTCAAAGGATGTAGAGAATAGTTTACATCTACCTCTATGTTTTTAAAACCTTCTTAAGACTCATTTGTTTTCTCTGATGGTTCTGTGCTGCAGTGTCTTTTTCTCCTTTTTGTTTCAGTTATTAATTCATGCATTTATATGCTTTTTTTAAACACTTGTGTCAAGCCTTGTGTCAAGTTTAATTAATCTTTTCGTGTTAAGTCTTGATGTATGAAACGTGTATGAAGGTATCAGAAACTCACTCTGGAAATTAATTTTGCAGCATATCTAAAGGTTTTGACATTTTCTTCAAATTATTTCATGCTTTACCATGCTGATTAATTTGATGGATTATGTTTTCCCACAGGATGTAATAAATGTCTCCAAAAAGTATCTCCCTGGAATGGCAAAAGGCTTCTTCAGCCCCAAACTCACTCTGCATGTAGGTGATGGCTTTGAATTTATGAAAAAGAATCAGAATGCTTTTGATGTCATCATCACAGACTCCTCAGACCCTGTCGGTATGCAGCCCAATGTGTGGCGTTGAAGTTTCTTCTTTGCATTGGTAAATAATGATGTAGCCACTGACTCCCAGACAAAACATGGTGTTCATTTCAGACTGATCTCATTTCATCCCGTCACAGGTCCGGCTGAAAGCTTGTTCAAAGAGTCTTACTATCAGCTCATGAAAACGGCACTTTGTGAGGGAGGAATTCTCTGTTGTCAAGGTTGATATAACTGCAAATCTACAAAAAAAGCTCCAAAATGAAGAATATTAATGACATGCATTTGACAAGTTTGTCATTTTTGCTTGTAATTTCATAGGAGAGTGTCAGTGGTTGCATTTGGAGCTAATCAAAGAAATGCAGACCTTCTGTAAGACCCTCTTTCCTGTAGTAGACTATGCATACTGCACCATTCCAACATATCCAAGTGGACAAATCGGCTTCATGCTTTGCAGTAAAAATCTGGTACGGTTTTTCTTATTAGCATTTAATAACGCTGCTTTTATTTGAATAGATTTACGATTCCTTTTATTGCTTTTATACACGTTGTTGTTGTTTATACACTACAGTTCAAAAGTTTGTAATCAAGATTTTTTTGAAAAATTAATACTTTATTCAGCAAGGATGCCAAATTGATCACAGTAAAGACATTTATAATATTACAAAAGATTTTTATTTCAAATAAATGCTGTTCTTTTAAACTTTCTGTTCTTCAAATAATCCTAAAAAAAAGTATCACAGTTTCTTCAAAAAATATTAAGCAGAACAACTGGTTTTAACGTTGATGATAATGTTTCTTGAGCAGCAGATCAGCATATTAGAAGGATTTCTGAAGGGACATGTGTATACAGTTTTGCCATCACAGGAATAAAGTACATTTTACAATATTTGCAATAGAAAACAGTTATTTTACATTGTACTGTATTTTTGATCAAACAAGTGCAGCCTTGGTGAGCACGTCTTTCAAAAATCTTACCAACTCCAAACTTTTGAACGAAAGTCTATAAAATAATATTGATGATAATTTTATCATCAGTAAATTAATTTTTTGTTTATTGCAGAAAACAAATTTCCGTGAGCCAGTACGAGAACTACCAAGAGAAGAGATTGAGAGCATGAACCTCAAATATTACAATCCTGAAATCCACCGTGCGGCATTCATCCTCCCAGAATTTGCCAGAAAGGTGAGACGCAGCCTATTGTTTTCCATTTTGTGCTCTTTACTTTGCATTTCTAAGGAAAATTAACTGTTTACACAGGTACTAAGTGAAGTGTAAATGGCTTCATGGGTGCCGTCTTGTCAACAATCTGCCTTCTGTGAAAGCAGAACAAAACCCTCTCCACAGCTGCAGTAGCTCCCACACCGCATCCCTCTCCGTCAATGGACTGCTAATGGACAAGAGCAAATGCCTTCTGTGGGGAAATTCAGTTTGTCTGTCCAGTTCCATCAGTGCTTCTGTCTTATGAGTTCTGAGTTTTTTAATTTCCTTTTACAATTCCACTTCCCACATCAAACCTTCAGAACTGTACAAACTGACAATCATGCATGTTCTGTGACAGATTCCACAGTCTTTCTCTTACTCGTGTTGAGTATGAAAAAGAGTGCAACGTTCCACTACAACTGTCTTATTTGCCGTTAATTAAATAAGCATGCAGGTATTTTAAATGAACTGCATATCATCTCTATAAACCCTTTCGAAGACTTGAGGTCAGTAACAATAATAGATTTGCTTTTCATGCTGTATTAAGGTTTCAAATTATGGATCACTTTATCAACAGTACACTACTGTCAAACCTAAACCTATTTAGTATTGCTATTATTTCTAAAACTACTACTCTAAAGTCTGTACAGAAGATGCTTAACGTAACTAGCAAAACTATTAGCTATTTTCTGCAGTTAAGAGTATCTAACATTTAAATGGTTTGTGTAAGGTGGCATATGGGCTCCCTCTCTGTGAGTGACTTTGTGTGCTCTGGGTCTCCTGAACAAGTCTGATTACATGATGTGATTTTTTTTTTTTGTAGAGCAAATGGTGTTTGGTATGCAGCCTTTTTGAGTGATATGCTATATTGTATTGCAAACGTATGCTTATGGTCAATGGACTCTTATGATGGAACGATTTTGCGGTGTCTTTTAACATTAGAATTACTGGAATTCTCAAACATCGAGACATTGTCTTAATATTGAATATAATCATGGCGGTATACTTTACGACAAAATAACAGTATTTGATGGATAGCTAAAGATCTTTTAAGGATTGTTGCATAGGACAAACTATTTTGTACTCTTGTCAAGTTTAACTGTATGGAAGAGGGTTTATTTGTCCATTTACCATTTAATGTTTATGATGTAAATTTCATTTTGCCAATTTCATAAATTGTTTTGAAATAAAAATTATGTAACCACAATTTGTTAATTTTCTATAAGATTTGGTTACGTATAATGAAATGTTTGATGGTAAAGTGCCATTCTATGCACTAGATGGCGACTTTGTTACTAAATTCGGCCTACAAACATCCGGGCATTATTTGACTGCAATGATGTATGGGATACGTTTGCGAAGAGTATCAGGAGTCACTTTGCAGGTAAATATTTGTGCTGTCAACAGTGCTCTTTATATGTTTATTATATTGTAAATGTTGAAAAAATGTCCCTGTCGATGTTGCTTCAGTTATAGATCAACAGTTTATAAACCTAAATAGTTGCTCTGATTGTTTTGAGCCTTCACATTTTATATTCAACTTTCTAAGTATAAAAATGCATAGTTATGTCGACTATAAATACTTTAGAAAAGTGGACATACTTTACATTACAGTGTTTATTAATTTTTACTCAGGGTAACACCACAAAACGATGTTTTTATGTTTTGGCAGACTATTTTGTCATTTATTTGGACTAGCCTGAGTATTCGCGTTTCCCCTAAATAATGTACACGAAGCAGTGTCGGTATAATTGAGATACTATTACAGTTTTATTTAGTTTTGAATTAGTTTTTTTTATTTTTTTTTATTTTAGTTCAATTTGTAGTGACTTTGTTGTGTTTTTGTCATTTTTATTGGATTGTTTTAATGTCTACATAGATTTTAGTCATGTTATTTTCGTTTTAGTTTTTATAATATCTAATTGCTAAATATCTAATCATTAGATTATATTTTAAAATAGGCTACTTCTAATCAGACTACAGTTACTTTTAATTGATTACATGATTACATATTAGTCACATAATTTTGCCTAATTCCTTTTTTTTTTTTCATCTTTTAAAGGTTCCTTTCTAAAATAGCCTACACATGACATGAATGTAAACAAATGAAATATACTTTTTGGAGACATTTATTACATCCTGTGGGAAAACATAATCCATAAAATTAATCAGCATGGTAAAGTATGAAATCATTTGAAGAAAAATTTTTCTTAGTAATTTAGTAATTTTAAAATGATTTTAATTTTTACATATTTATGATTTAAGTAATTATTAGCTTTTCATTAAACTCACAAACCCCCTGCAGTTCCTTCACAAACCCAAGTTTGGGAAACCTTGACATAATGTAATGTTTAATGCATTTCATGTTATTAATAATGAATGGAATATATTTACTTTCTCTTTGTACTTTTGTATCTGTATGGTACAAGATTATCCTATTTAATTCAATGTGATAAACAAGTTGGGTCAAAAACAATCTAAAAGTAATCCAAAAGTAGTCTGATTATATTACCTAAAATGTTTAATATAATGGATTAGGTTACTAACTACAATTTTTTAATGGAATTTGGAATCAGTTATGGATTACAGTTTGTAAGTAATCTAACCAGCTCTGCATACATGTGTGTGTTTCAGTTAGCGTTTATTTTATTTCAAGTAACAAAATCTCTTTAACTATAGTAACCCTGATATGAAGTCATCAAAACTCCGCTGAGACAACAGGAGGCATTTTACTCTGACGCCAGATATGTTTGAAGTCGGTTGGGAAGTGAACGCTAGATGTGTTTGGCACTGGTCAATTGGCATGAATTCTTCAAACGCACTTTATCACGATTCGGCTGGGGGCAGCTCATCTCAACGCTGTGTTAATCTCTACAGAGCCCGGGGCCCTGAAGTCTGTCCGTATCTGTCTGCTGTGAAAAATGTGCTAAAGCTCGAGTATTAGGGCTCCTAGCTACGTGAACTCAGTCGGGGTGTGTGTATGCATATCCAAAGAGGTGTGTGGGTGCCAGAAAAGCTGACCGGAATGAGAACACGACAGGAGCCCATGACCAAGACATGTTTTATTTTCACTGCCCAACTGGTCTGGTAGGCTACCATTTCTCATTCTGGTTTAATTAAACACACACATAGACTGCTTATGCACACTGTACAGCACTTTGAGTATAGTCCTATCTGCACAAAAGAGTATTTAAAACACTAAAAGTCACCATGAAATTCAAATTGACATTTTTGTTTTATGGACTATTGCAGTTTGAATTATAAATGATTTATCTGTGCACAACTTTTTTGTCGTTTTTAATTCATGTGCCTTTAAATCTTTAATCAAAAACATTAACATCCCCTCCCTTTGCAACGACATCTCTTCTCTGATGACGTGTGCACTGGCGAGAGGGTGGGACAATAATCCCTTTAGCAACCTGTCGCTCACATATGTGACCCTGGACCACAAAACCAGTCATAAGGGTCAATTTTTTTTAATTGAGATTTATACATCATCTGAAAGCTGAATAAATAAGCTTTCCATTGATGTATGGTTTGTTAGGACAATATTTGGCTGAGATACAACTATTTGAAAATCTGGAATCTGAGGGTGCAAAAAAAAAAAAAATCAAAATATTGAGAAAATTGCCTTTAAAGTTGTCCAAATTAAGTCCTTAGCAATGCATATTACTAATCAAAAATTAAGTTTTGATATATTTATGGTAGGAAATTTACAAAATATCTTCATAGAACATGATCTTTACGTAATATCCTAATACATTTTGGCATAAAAGAAAAATCGATCATTTTGACCCATACAATGTATTGAGGGCTATTGCTACAAATATACCTGTGCTACTTATGACTGGTTTTGTGGTCCAGGGTCACATATGATCACAGCAGTTAGTAAATGAAAATGCTTAATTCCTGATGGACAAATCAAATCCTGCCCTACATTTTTTTTCTTGTTTGAGAAATGTTTCACTTGGATATATGTCACAATAGGGAAGAAAAATGATCAAAATTTCTGTTTCATGCTGACTTTAACAATCAAAAACATAATTTATGCTATTCCTCTTATGCTCATGTTATAAGGTTCCAGTTAGAGGAATATACCAGGTACAACTACAGTTGATTTCAAATAATCACTGGTTACAGTGAGGCACTTATGATAAAAATGGATGGGGCCCATTTTTGGGGGGTTTAAAGGCACAAATGTAAAGCTTATAAATTCATAAAAACATTTATATTCATTCCACTGTTAAAACTATTTTGTTATTAACTAATGTATTATTTGAGCTCTAAAGTTGTTTAAATAATCATTTTACAGTCATTTTAGGTGTTATGTTGTCATTATGTTGTCAAATTAGATATAACTACACACACAAATGGTCAGTAAGTCACAATCACAAATTATATTAATGCACATATTATTTACATAATGTGGCTAAGCTATTGAAATAGTTGCCCCCCATTCACTTCTATTGTGTCTCACTGATTAAACCCAGATTGTTTGCCTTTTTAAAGAAAAAGAAATTAATTTTAATCACAATTAGTATTATCTGTCAAATGCTGTCAGTTGAGGTAACTAACTTGTATAGAACCCTGGAATGTTTCTTTAATACATTTTCTATTTGTTCAACAGTTATTAGTCTGTAATGCGTTTACAGACTAATGAAGAGCAATCTATACCTCAAGAGACCATTTTCCATGAAAACGAACTCATCTTTATATTTCATTCGCTTTTTTCTATTAGATTTGCTGCTGTAGTATTGACTCAACCATAATCTCGTTTGCTTTTTGTGCTAATGTTTGTCTCACTTGATATTCTTCCATGGTAAAATCTGCCGTTACATTTTCATAAAAGACTTAATTCTTGTTATTCAGCCTCTTTTCATCTACGGATCAAAAGCATCTTCTTTCTCCATAAAGACAGTTTTCTCAGCTGTTCCAGGTGCCAGACGGTTCGATGGCAATCTGAAGGAGAAGGAGGAGGAGTTGTGCTCAATTACACGTTGGAATGAGAGCAGATTGCCACTGTACACAACAAAACGGGTTAGTTTGATTTCCTTGTATTGATATCACAATGCAGCTCTGAGTGAGAACGGCGTGTAATTACAGCGTACGTCTGACCGCCGTACTTCCTAAAACATGATTCGCTGCCTGCATGTCATTTGGCTCTAAAGAATTGTAAATCATAATTAGCATAAACAATGAGCGGCCCACAGAACTTTTCAGAATCACGTTATCGGTAGCTCCGTCATCAGTGTTTTTTCGCCTCGCATCCGTCTTAACTGAAATAACGACCATTTTTAGAGCTATGACGTGAGCGTCGTGGCGCAGTCCTCCCCACCGGCACAACCTCTGGTTTGTTGGGGGGTTAACTACTCAATGCTTTTGTTAGTTCCTAAGCCACCCACTCCCCCACCCTCTCCCCTCCATCCTCCAAGCGCTGCGTCAGTAGGGGACTGGAATGAGAGGTATATAAGGACCCTGCCACCTGAAGCTCTCAAAAACCAAGATCTCTCCAGCTTTACTCTGCACCAGGAGCTACAAGGACTTCGAAGTTCCTGCTTCGCTTCTCTTACCGACCTTTCTGCGCACTTTAACTTCAACTATTTTGTCAGTATGCAGCTTTTGTCCAGCCTAGTGTCTCTTTTGCTGGTGCTGTATAGTGTCAGAGCAGCAGCTGTGCTTCCAGTGGAGGAGAGGAACCCGGCACAAAGTAGGGTGAGTGGCTGTAAATGTGCTTCCAGTTGTAGCTTTTATGGATTTACCAAGCAGGTGTTTGTATTTTAGACACATGTTGATGTTTAGCGTCCGAAAGAGACCATTCTGGGATCATTTTAGTATAGCAGCCATATTATTATTATTATTCTGGATAGTTGAAGCTTTTAACATCTTGCATTCTAATTCAAGTCCAGTTGCTTTCTCTTCAGGAGCTGAGCAAAGAGCGCAAGGAGCTGATCCTGAAGCTGATCTCTGGGCTGTTGGATGGAGCAGACAACAGCGTGCTGGCTGGGGAGATAGCGCCTGTCCCCTTGGATGTGGAGGAGCCCCTGGAGTCCCGTCTGGAAGAACGGGCCGTCTACAACCGGTTATCACAGCTGCCGCAGCGTGACCGCAAAGCCCCCTGCAAAAACTTCTTCTGGAAGACCTTCACATCGTGTTAACGGCGCCAGTCCTGCAACGGTGCCACGATCCTACCTGATACCTGA